TGGTGATACATGATGATGATGATGATGTGCATGATGCGGATGGTGGTGATGCATGATGCGGATGCCACTTACCCATTTGACGTCTCGTTTGACTGTGCTGGTGGTGACCAGTTATTATACGTATACGACGCACCTCCCGGATAAGGTCGCTAAATAGAAACATGGCAGTTAATCCAATAGACACAAACACCCCTGCAATAGCTGTAGTATTACCATACATACATACCCTATCTAGTTCATCACCCAGCCATTCTACTGCCCAGTTAATCCAATACACACAAACACACCTACAAGAGCTGTAGTATTACCATGCATACATACCCTATCTAGTTCATCACCCAGCCATTCTACTGCCCAGTTAATCCAATACATACAAACACCCCTACAATAGCTGTAGTATTACCATACATACATACCCTATCTAGTTCATCACCCAGCCATTCTACTGCCCAGTTAATCCAATACACACAAACACCCCTACAGTAGCTGTAGTATTACCATACATACATACCCTATGTAGTTCATCACCAAGCCATTCTACTGCCCAGTTCCATTTTCTTCTGAGGTCTGGTGAGCCAAGGAGAATTTGGTGCGCCAAAGAACAACTAGGAGATAGAATGAAGAAAAAGTCTCAGGTTAATTGATTTGAGATCATCATTAATAAATAAATAAAATAAATAAATAAATAACCGTAAAATAAATAAAGCAGTGGCATTTTCAAACAGTTGCTCTTCAACCACAGGAGTTCAGAAGTTGATTTTCGCGGGTGGAAAACCGGAAAAACTGGGGAAAAACCCTCGAACAACAGGAGAGAACCAACAAACAACTCTACTCACATACAACACCGAGCACGGCGGGACTAGAGCCCGCGTCGCATTGGTGAAAAGCGAGCGCTCTCACCGCTACGCCACCCGTGCTTCAACTGCTGCCTAGTTAACATTGGAAGCGACGTTACTTAGCTACAACGGGATTCAAAATACACCGCGATGGAACTGTACTTACTTATTGAATAAGGCAACCATGAACTTCATGCATTGATAAGCTCGTTTTTGGTAGTGATTCTTTGACCGTTGGATGATATCAAACAATCCATCCCTATCATCTGGGATACCTGTGGTACATAGATATACAGAGAGGGAGAGATGAGAAGGGGGGGAGGACAGAGCGGAGGAAGGCGGACGTCAAGAAGAACGACTGTTTTTTTTTACAAAAGATTTTTTTTAGCTTGAGCATAATTTCCACCATATCAGACCATGTGTCATTCCCTAGAGTACTATTTCTTTGTTTAACAGTTGTGCATGAGAAGACTCATGAATATGGATACAACTCAAACAAAGAATCTCCTTCTCAAGAGATAAAGCCCAAGTCCCGAATGGAAATGAAAAGCAAATGGAAGTAGTGAAAAGAGGGGAAGAGAGAAAGTGGGATAAATGGGAATAAACGTTACTAACCTCGAAGGGTGTTGTGTATTCGGTGACTCTGCCATGAATCGTTGACAAGAAGCATTTGTAAGAGTAGATCAAAGTAGGGCCTCAGCTCGTACGTGTATGAATAAGCCACCTGAAAACACGACCATACGCAGGATATTAGTCACTGAACTCTGAGATGATTATGTATTAGAACAACTTACCTGCCAAAGCAACTCGCTAAGAACGGCTCGTGAGAAATGAGGGTTTTCCCAACAGCAGAACTGTAAACATGAACAGAAGTTGGTCTTAGAGAAGAGCAAGAAACATGGTGCGTATACAGGTAGATATGTTGGAAGATATTTTTATATTAATATTGAGTGGACATTGTAATACATAAATGTGAGAGACAGTAATGGGAAGCCAGTTAAATGCCACATTATGCTGTCAAAATTGTAACAGATTAGAGTAGATATGATTGTAATTAATGCACGCCGGGTAAGGTTGTACCGTGACCGTGCTGTGTGTGTTAGTATTCTGATTGGATGAGCAGTAATCTTGTGCGCCATGACATGTCGTGTACTGCAACGTTTCACAGTTATAACATCTTATCTATAAACGTTACATAGTTTTTATAAACCGAGGATGTATGAGAGGTAAAATACCAACGGAAAGCATTCAAGACTTACTTTCAGCAGGCGAATGGTTTCTTCTGACGAGGCGGTGTCTTCAATTAATTTTTTCAGGTACAACAATTTGTTAAATAATATTTCACTGACATCAGTTGGGACCTCCATCAGAGGTTGACCATCACCGAACGGGTTGGGAAAAGGTACAGATCCCTGAGGAGAATATTAGACATAAAACAATCACTACCAGTACTACCACTATCATCACCATCACATGAACACCAACACATTATCACTATAACCATAGCCATCATCAGTACAACCACCATCATCACATCATCATCATCAGAATCAGAATCATCATCATCACCACCACCATCATCAACACCATCATCACCACGACCACCAACATCATCATCATTACCAATACCATCATCATTACTATCATCATCATCATCACCACTACCACCATCACTACCATCAACATCACTATTATCACCACCATCATCAACACCACCATCACCACTACCATCATCACTACCATCATCATCATCACTATCATCACATCGTCATCATCATCACCACTACCATCATCACTACCATCATCATCGCCACCATCATCATCATCACCACTACCACCATTATCATGACAACCATAACCAGAACTACCCCGTTATCCTCATGATCAGTCAACCTCTTTCTCTCCTTACCGTGGAAGACTGTGTCCTGACTGATACATCACAGCTCCGTAGCAACTGTGACACAACAGCATACAGTTTGCCAAGCTCAGCAAAACGAATAGAGGGACCAGGACCTTCGTCTATCGCGACGAGCATGAATGTTGCTGGCACATTGAGTTTAAGTAGCTGTATTTTCTGAAACAACGAATACAGAACATTAAATAGAGGGGAACGAGACCAAGGGTGATAATAAGGGCAAGCGAGAATGGCTTAGTAACAACAGTTTGAATAACTAAAACTTGCGGCAAATGATACGCACGCTGACAAGCGGCCATTGAATGCGCGCTTACCAGTAGAAAAAAGCGGGAAATCTCAACTTCCGGGAAAGTGCATGCGCGTCTACCAGTGGAAAAAAGCGGGAAATCTCAACTTCCGGGAAATTGCATGCGCGCTTACCAGTGGAAAAAAGCGGGAAATCTCAACTTCCGGGAAATTNTACCAGTGGAAAAAAGCGGGAAATCTCAACTTCCGGGAAATTGCATGCGCGCTTACCAGTGGAAAAAAGCGGGAAATCTCAACTTCCGGGAAATTGCATGCGCGCTTACCAGTGGAAAAAAAGCGGGAAATATCAACTTCCGGAAAACGAAACCAAACGTAGCTATAAGAATGACTAAATAGTTACCTCTTGTGGCCCAAGGCCAGCATACATCAGAAAGAACTGAAAATACTGCTGTACATGCCTGCCGTGTTCAGGTACTTCTTTCTTGAGAAGGTTCAGCACAGCTATCAGGATGTATTCACTTAGACCAGCTTGGTTATGTACTACATGGAAATATCGATAAAAAAACAACAATAAACTAATGGGTACTAACAAAACAATTGCTGATGTCCCACATCGAGTTATAGTTCAATAGCAACTATTAGAGTTAAAATCTATTGCCTTCAAACAATTGCTTCGAGTCGAGGCATTTGGGTCAATACATTAAAAGTATAGAAACTGATCCAAAGGCAGCTATTGTTTGAAGGCAATAGAGTGTATCTCGTATATTTCTTATTGTTTGTCTTTTGTCAAACATAAACCAAGAATATTTCATAAAAAAGGATGACAGAGAGCAGTACAAACGTTAAACTTCATTAAATTGAGAAGTAGCTCCAAAAAGGAAAAAAAGGAATTTGAGATTGAAAAGGTCCGTCACTACAACATATTCCAGTTAACATTAATATTGAAACCATACCTGCGCCTTCTGGTATTCCTGGTAATGGTCCACAGGGTCCGTCTTGTAAGGAATGATGGGCCAGGAAGACCAGGATCTTAGCGAAAGCACTGCGCACCTGAAACAAACAATCGTCGATGAAAATTACCATATGCTATACTAAACGGACGGACGAACGAACGGACTGAAGAACGACAAACAGATAGCCTCTCAAATACAATAGTTGAAAGAGCCATCCACCGATACGCAAGGACGGAAAGGAGAAAAACTTTGACTAGAGTGAGCTAGGAAATGATAGTAAGACCGAGGTAATAGGTAGAGCAAGTTTTAAATGACCGTGAAAAAGTAACGGTAAGGACGTGCCGAGACAGCGTCCCAGTATTCTGATTGGATGAACAGTGATTCCTTGCAGTGTGATTGGTCAAAAGGACGTATCGTGATCGTATCTTTTGACAGTCATACCAAATCTACTGTATCAATTCAGAAGCTAGGACGAGTGATGACGGGCAGAAAGATAAACGACTTACCTCAGCTGTTGGACTTTCCAAGAGATACTCACTGAAGCGTTCAGGATGAGTGAACAACAGTTCTCCGAACCAAAGGCGAATTGCAGCGTCGGACCGAAGAAGTACGCACACTGCATCATACCATTCATTAGCAGGTCCCCTAGACAAACAATAAGAACTGTTAGAGATCCAGCCATGACCATAATCCTTTGAGCGCTGATGAAACAAGCACTCATAGTCATCGTACGCAACAGCTGGCTGAATTGTGAAGGCTTGTGAGATTTTTCTCGTGTTAAAATAGCAATTCTGGAATTTTGTTTAGCCATAAATTGCAAATCATTGTGAAATGTTAGAGAAATCTTGAATTATCTCTTTTTTCTGCAGCATGTTTTTGTAATGATACACGCTGAGTGTTAACATTCGAGATACATGATAGACGCATGATAATATAACAAGATAATTCGACACATACCTGACAATCTTCTTGGTGTGAAAACCAGTCGAGAACAGGAATCGTGACAGTAGTTTGATACTTATCATTCCTAATTCTAACGAATCGGGCTGAAAAACACAACATACAACGAATAATCAATCATGTCATGATACACCCAGGGTTTTACTTCAGTCAATTTATTTTGAGGTCAGTTGAATTCCTAACCCGATATTTTAGAAGTCCCCTGTTAAAAAAACGAGTCTCAGAATCATAGGCGAAGGCATTTGTCATTCCCAGATCCCACATATTTTGTTCAACATGGCGGACAAGAATGGGACAGTGAACCTTAATATACTGTTGAAGATTTTTTGATTAAAAATTTCTACATGATTACTTTTAAGCAAAAACAAATATCAGAAATATCTTTGTTGGTATCTTAGGACGCAATCTATTTTTTGATTGAGTGATTTTTCTTGAAGAATATCATAGAGTAGTAGAAAAAGATACTTACCCCATTGTCTTGTCCTGCGTTGGCTGTGGTGAGTTTCCGTATAAACTGGAAATATTCTGGACTGAACTGTATTCGATTGTGTAGGAAATGAACATTTTGTTTTCTCACGGCTCGCTCGATGGGCACTGGTACTTTGAGAGCTGGATGGTGAGATAAAAATGAAGAAGATATCAATTCGATTAGTTTGTCTTCAGTTTCAAATGGCGATAGAGACGTACATGGTGTGACATGTCGTAACATTGAAATGGCTTTTCATTGTCTTCCAGTTATTCAACCAATCACAACGCGTAATTACGGATACGGTAAGATACAGTACGGCTACTCATACAAAAATCACTAAAAAAACTATTTCGTCAAGTTGCGCAATTGTACCTAAATATTGTGCGCACTTCTGAAGAGTTTTTCGGTTATTTTTCGCTTCAGGTTCTCCTATATTTCGATCAGTATACTGTTTTACTTGAAAACTGGCTTTGTGCGCACGTGGTCTCAAGAAATACTTTTCTATTTCACCTCCTACATACCTGTCACTTTGCGCGCTGTTTATGAAGGGCAGTTTATCGATCAGCTTGCGCGCAATGCTTTTAAGGGATAGATGTACTTACGTTTCTCGGTTTCCATCATAGTGTTGAGTTCTATAACATCTAGACGTTCATAAAACAATATATAGGCATTCCACCATCGTTTCTGTCTTCGATATGACATCCTACAGAAAAAAAGGGCGTTAACGAAAGTATAAAATGCGGTAACATATGGGTAGCACACGGAATCGCAATTTGTCATGCCACTCGTCACGCAACTCGTCACGCGACTCTCGGGGATATGTTAGAAGTAATACAATACTTCACTGCTCTGGATATTACGAAACTACAATGTTGCGTGACAGTACTTACCGTTTAAGCATGTGATCAAACACTTCACCCATGTATTCACCACCAAAACACTGATTTTTCATTTCCTGTTGCAAAACAAGAATTATTATATTATTATATATATATATATATATATATATATATGTCACGATTTTGACAGATTTAAAACAGGTTCTTCGCCCTTCTTCATGTGTGTCAGTAGATCTGTCTGTCTGTCCGTCAGTCCGTCCATTTGTCTGTCTGTCCGTGCGTTTGTCCGCATGTTTGTTTGTCTGTCTGTCTGTCCGTTCAGTAGTGCTAACGTGCGTTTTCAATATGTACAAACCTCATCATCTTCCATCTTGCATTCAGATACTTCACCATCATCAAATTTGTACCAGCGACTTTCATCCTCTGGATTAGACCTGAAAAAATTGACAGTACACCATAAAAATCATTAATCAATGATTTCTTTATGCTGCGCTGTACTAGATCCTACACGCCCTCGTCCCCCACTTGCCTCAGATAGCTCGTACTTACCTTTGTAGTATATAACAGTAGTAATGTCCACCGCTGGCCTGACCGCTATGTACCAGGATCCCCGTCAGTCGATATTTATTCTCGCTATTACATGATCGCTTATCATCCTCGATTATCAACTCTTCTGATGTTACCTCGCCTAGAAATCATCAATGACAAAAACAATATACGTTAATGTAGTGGTACCTGTATTAAGCGGACACCTTCTGGACCTTACCTGGTGTCCATGTTATAGAGGTTCGTTATATTGCAAATATGGGAAGAAAGATGGTGACCCATGAAGCTGTTCATTCAATAAAGTGATGTCCACTTGATGAAGGGTCAATTGAGGCACCACTGTATATTACTTTCTGGGTATATATTTGACAAAACCGCAAATAGGTTTCTGGTCACGTGCAAACCCACTTCGAACGGTTACCACGATGAATGATCTAATATTGCGGATCTAAATTTGCTGCACAAGAAAAAATTCTTTTTTTACCTTCAGATTTGGCTAAACCAATCTCAGTGAACGGCTCCATGTCTATCTCTCGGGGGAATTCGAAGTAGTCGTTAAACTTGACGGCACACTCCCTATAAACAAAGAAAGCTTGCATTAGAGAATCTGGAATATCCTGCCGGGGTATGTTTGAGGTAGAGATAAATTAAGTTACTAACCTTTCCCAGTCATAATCAAATCGTTTCAGTTGTATCGCCATGATACGAGGAAGTCTACTAATACACATGCGTTTGACGGTGTCCACCTGGGGAAAAAACCAGTAGAAATATCAGTAGGATTAGAGAAGACACGGTCATGGTACGTTGTTACTGTAACATATTGTATAAGAACATGCGTAATAGGTAAATTACGAGCCTTATATGAAACGACTGAAGATGAGGGCCAATGGGCCTTTCACAACTTCAAGTCGCGTAAAATGAGCCAGCTCAACAAGAAACCGTGGACAGCTGTTTCGGCCTGTATTGGGCCTCGTCAGCACGGTGTATCTAGTGAGCTGGCAATCCCACGAAAAAGTAGTACATGATAGATGAGGCTGTAAGCCGTATTTTGTTCTTATACGATTTCCGAGCCCATCCCACACGGCTTACAGCCTCATCTAACATATTGTACACAAAAGCCGTGTTGTACCCACCTTTTTGTTGCATTTCTCGCAGTGATACGCATTAGCACCTTCGAGTAAATCTCCTTTAACGAACTGTTCCATGGAGTCTGTCAGGCTTTGGTGGTTGCGAATATCTACGTTGAGCGCGATGAAAGGCGCCTCACGGGAGTACCTGACAAGAGAACATGACTATTACAGCTAGTCGTTTGTTAAAAGATGGTCGATTAACATAGGTCTTTCTAATAAAGAAATGGTCGATTGACACAGGTCTAAATGGTCGATTAAACCAAGCCTTCCTAATACAAGGTGGTCGATTAAAGCAGGTCTTTGCTAACATCAGGTGGTTGTGGCTTTAATGATATAAAATGTCTCCGTAATTAAAGTACGGTGATACTTCTATTAAGCGGACACCAGGCAAGATCCTGAAGGTGTTCGCATAATACAGGTACCACTGAATATCTTAGAATTTTGGCACAAATCAAAGGTCTTTTATTTCATAAAGGTCGCATTATAGAGGTATTAAGACCAATAGTAATTGAATCCTTGCGTTGGTTTAGCTTCTACAGATCGGTCGTTTCATAGAGAGGTGGAGGTCGTTTCACAGGGAGGTGGAGATAAGTTGGTCTGGCTATTGCTTACCGGTGAGGACATCCCTTGCAGATCTTCTGATCAGCGAAAGCACCACCAAGGACTTTAGAGAAGATGGGTTCATGGCCTAGAAACTTTAAACCTTCGTCTAGATTATCGACCAGGTTATTGAAGAACTCTAATGCATCATGTTGTTCACGGAGGTTTACAGGTTCTCCAAATAATCTAAAGATTAAAGTTGTTATGTTAAATAGAGCTATCATCGTCATCATCGTGCATCATCCTCATGATGCAGAATCATCATCATCATCTTCATGATGCAGAATCATCTCCATCTCCATCTCCACCATCATTATCATACATAATTGTCAACAATATCATCATCACAAATCATTATCATCATCATCACCATCAAAACATCATCATCATCATCGGCAACATGATCGTCACCATCACCATCACTTGCTCTAATCAGCGTGCAAAAAAATCATCCCCAACAACAACGTTAATAAAATAATCATAAGCAAACATTAAACTAGTACGCCTTACAATGGAACAACTCACTTGAAAGTATTCCAGAATCCTTTAGGGATATGAAACTGTAGTTGACTGTGAGCTAAATGACCAAAAATGAACTGAATCTGCCGAAGAACTCCTATTTGATACTCCTTCCTTTCTTGTGCTTTATCCTTTTCCTTGTTCTCTGAGTCATTTTCTCTGCTCTCCTCAGACTGGTACCCTGTGTCCACTGTGCTTTCGCTTTCTGATTTTTCTTCAAGATGAACGAGTTCTTCGTCTTCATCACTCACAGCACCTTCTACCAGGAGTACTCCTTTGCGAAGTTCAGGGATCATGAAGAGCTAGAAAAAGTATATGTACTGCATAGGTTAGAAAATAGAAAGAAAGAAAGAAAGAAAGAAAGAAAGAAAGAAAGAAAGAAAGAAAGAAAGAAAGCATCTACAAACCTGTTGGATCACAGAGTTCATATAACAAGTTGCTCCAGCGTTTTTCAATCCTACAAATCCATTGTGTGGCCGAGGGCCAATGGGTGGAAGGTGTTCCCATTCAGTCACCACTGTATCATCTGGTTTACGAAGGAAAGATAACAAGTCAATCAATATACCACAGTGCGTCCCCTCCTCGTGAATTAATTTGTAACCATACCAATCGATACCATACCAATTGATATCATAACTACCCCTGATTCTCCCAACATGGTATGGTAAAACTAACCTGAGTAATACATATCTGTAAGAATGTCTGATAACAGCCTCAGGTTCTCTAAACATCCAGAACACAGGGACACGAGAAGGTCAAATCCTGCCACTAGGGTGGGAGGAGTGGAGCAGATTGATGTCACACGACGGTTCCAGATATCATCTAAAACAAATGGGTAGTAAAAAATAAAAATAATTTTTACATAAGTTAAGTTTTTAAATAAGTATCTTAGATTTATACGACAAATAATTTTCAACTAATATTAACAAGAACGGGGAAAAAAGACCGTGTTGAATGTTAAAGTCAGGTTGAAATAGTTAGTAAAATATATCATCACTTACTGTTTCCATTTTTAGCCTCCAATACTATCTTGGATGCAGGGAAAATAAAATCTTCAATTAGTTCCTGTAAAACAAAAAGTTAAAATGTCCATAAAGATGTGCGATGATGATGATGATGATGACTATGATGAGGATAATGGGATGATGATGATGACTATGATGAGGATAATGGGATGATGATGATGACAATGATGAGGATATGAGATGATGATGATGACAATGATGAGGATAATGGGATGATGATGACTATGATGAGGATAATGGGATGATGATGACTATGATGAGGATAATGGGATGATGATGACTATGATGAGAATAATGAGATGATGATGATGATGACAATGATGAGGATGAAATAAACTTCAAAATAATAAAAATATTGACCTTTCGACCAAAACTATTGGTCTTCTTTATTGAACTGACACTTCATAATGTTGATGATGATAAAATAATGTCTATGATGATGATAGATGAAACCAATGATGGATGATGATGATGATAAATGTTGATGATGATGGATGACAACTTCGTCATACCAATGATAGATGATGGTGATATATGTATTATCATGATGAATAACAATAGGTGATGAAGATAATATTGATAATATATTGCTCATAATACAAACCTTGATTAGGCTTGGTCCACCAGACTGTGATCCAATAACTAGCTTATTGTGAGAGTCTTGGAAGAGCAGCAGTTCTCTGGTAATCCCCAGATGACCTTCCAACAATGTCTCGTCAACTACTGTATCCCCTTCATCTGCAGCGAGCACTGCCTCCTGATATACACCACAAACAACACAACCAGTCAGCCATTTACAAATATCTTAATAAGTATACATGCATGCTGATTGGTCAAAAGCTGTGATTTATTAGTGAACGGAGCACAGTGCTAATGCCATCCGCACGTGCAAAGTTGGCTGCTAGATCCTGAGGCCGTCTTTCTTTTTGCGTAAATAAATTCAATACCAAAATAAAATTCGTAAAGTTCTATATAATAAAACGAATAAAACAGCTCGTTATTGTTACCTTTGTTTTCTTTAACCAGCCGATCTCATTCTTCAGCAGTACTTCAGTGGTGGACAGTGGACAATGGGTCATATAAGCATGACTTAGAAGTCTGAAGCAAAACAAAATAATAATATAGTAATCAAACCCAGTGTCTGCATTCTGCATTAGTAAGAGAAGGTGAATATTTCATAGGGGGGTGGGGTGGGGGGATGGGCAATTGGCAGTAAACTCTTTAAAATCAGGTTTTAGCATGGTTTCTTTGTATGATATCCATACCTTACCAGAGTAATGGTTTAGATAATAGTCAATTACTTACCTGCACAGTAAATTAAAATAATGATGGGAATGGAGAGGATGTTCCTTCACAGTGTTCTGAAACAACAATTACAATACGGTATAAGAAATTAGCATATAATACCACTCCCTCATTAGAGAGCTGCCGCAGCTAGATCTAGGGCTGCATAACTATGGTACAGTATCTGTGCCCCCTTGCTGCCTTAAGAATGTGGAAAAAAGTGACTCCAATAAGATAAACCTTGACAATTTCACAGCTGAACATGCTGATATACCCCTGTAGAAATTGTTTCTTTGGAATGAACAGCAAATGTTCCTGGGGGTTTTGAAGCTATGAAGGTCTATACTAGAGAAGTTGTGTGTGCAACAAGTCTATATTATATTATTACATAACTATGTAGTAATATTAGCGATGGAAAACTAACCATTAAAACTGTAAATAAAAGAGTAATGAAGAATACGATTGGTCTGTGTCCGTTAGAACATCTGGTAGCCATTAGAAAGAACTGGTCTGCAGCACTGTACCGAACAGATCTGGTGAAATAAGACAAGTATTTAATACTTTTCTTCAAACAAGCACCATAAAGCAACTTTTAATTATTTTGCACACATCTAGCTACAATGAATTTATTACCTGCTCTGACAAAGAATGAGTACATCTATTACAAAGCACTGCCAGGTCTTATCCTTACTTAGAGAATCTAGTGCACTTGGGCATAACGCCAAACACACAGTCAGCACCTGGGGGAATAAGTGAAGATATTAGCATGGCTTAAAATAAAGGCTGAATATCAGAATGTCTGGCCAGAACTGGGACTTGTCTGATCAAATCTTTGCCTTGCCGGTTATTTTGATCAGTAACATTGACCCAGTAACAAGGTATGACCTTGCTGAAACTAGTTTGGCCTGTGATCATAAAAGGCGAAAGATCAGCCATTAATGGAAGTGTAAGGAGAATAAACCACCATACAATACTAAACCAACCTCAAGTGCTTCTCTGGCTAGTTCTGCGTCACTCTGGTCTAGTATTTTACCAGTACCAGGCTGAAAATGATAAGGAAAACACATTCAATAATAATAATAATAATAATCTTATTACTTATATAGCACAAAAATTCATTAAAATATATGATCTAATGTGCTTATTCACGTTACACCTCATCAATGAATATGTTTTGTACCATTTCTGCACTGTATTATCATGTGCTAGTCCAATGTCTAGAGATTGGAGTGAGTTTGAGAAAGAAAATCTAAAATAAAGTTGAATGCAACTCAATTTGCCAACTTGTCGTGGGTGACTGATTCATATTCCCTTTTTAATCATTAATCATAATTAATTTTGATAATTAATAATAAACATGTGTACCTTTTCATATGCCTTGTGTATTTCATCATTGGAACCTTCTAACAAACGTAACACTCCTCCTCCACTGACCCAGGCTATTCTCTGGATAGACTTAATGACAGTCAAATCTGGGACACTAGTTGTAGCCTATATGCAAGAAGAAAGATTTAGAACAAATGAACTATATTTTACTAATAGAAATGGTTGATTCTGATTAGTGATGCTGCTACTGCTGTTGCACATTACTTCCATTACTGTGCAGATACTCCAACCAGGAACACTAGATAAACTAGTATCATTAACCAATCATATTGCGGCGACATTTAGTTCAATATTTTTAACCAGCCAATGAGATAGCACATTGATATAATGTGATTGGCTAATGATGTTATCACTTCAATCTCTGTCTGTTTTACTAGTATCTGATTGGTCAGTTCCATTTAAGTGGTCCTGGTGAGAGTGTCTGCACAGGAATTTAGAAGCTGATTATTTTGGAACTGAAGAAGGAAAACTGGAGAACCAGCACCAACAAATCACTTTAATCAGTTGGTAGATCTAGTAAAAAATCATGGTTCCAGCTTACACAATAACAAGCAGCTAAATTTTATCTTTTTTCGAGGATACTACAAAGATAAGAAGGATTTTTTCCTGGATTTTTATGTTGCCTTCCTCCTCTTACTGATATTAAACTAATGAAGAAATAGAAAATGTGCACATGGCTGTGTGCAGCTTTAACAAAGCACACAGGATAAGCACAAAGTATAGTGGATAGGTTTGAAGCAAGTGAAAGTGCACAGGTGTGCGGTGTGCTCTCAAGAAGCATGATCTCCCAACCAATCAGAACTCAAGATTTATGACAGTTATTTTGTAATAATAAATTATTTCATTAAAAATAAGAGTGACTTACTGCTTCTCCCATTTTGATAGCCAGTCTGACTGCAACATTCTTCAGCATACACTCTGTGTTAGGGTTGGGTATGTACATCAGGGCTTGCTGTAGTACAACAGCAGCATTGTGTACACTGGCTGAGAATGGCATCTGCGCTGATGGGTCTGATGAGTTCATTGCTTCAGCAACAATGTTGACTTGAGCGTGGCCAATCACAGTGAATAGCAGCTTGCTCAGTTTCATAAGGGTGTTGTATGCAGATCTAAGTTAAATGGAAACATTTTCATTTTTAATAACTAAACTTCAAAACATGAAAACTTACATCAAACGAACAGAATATGTATTTACTTACCTTTTGGTATACATATCTGCAGTTTTGACATACTCAGTATTCGTAAGCATGCTTATTACACATGGCATGCCGCCACTCTTAAGGAAATTAAGCTGAAATTCAACAAGGGATAAGAAGATTATTATTTACAAACAAGATGCAAATATTGCATATATTTATTAATAGTAATTACATTAACTAATATGTGACGAACACCCTACATTTCATATTCTGACTGCGTTACCAGCGTGGTTGGTCCTTGTAGTGTAGTGGTTAACACATCAGACTGGAATACCGAAGACATGGGTTCGAATCCTGCCAAGGGCATTTGATATTTTTCTCTTATTCTCTCTACTTCATTATATACACACCGAACGCATAATTTATTACTACTATAATATGTGATGATTGCATTAAAATTCCATTTTATCAAACTGTAAATGACCTCCAGGTTGATCTAGTCAGGGCACAACTAACTCACAGAACAAATCCTTAAACAACCTCTGGACTGATCTAATTTAAGGGCACAGATAACTCACAGATTACTCAGAAATCAAACCCTGAAACATCCTCTGGGCTGATCTAATTCAGGGCACAGATAACTCACAGATCAAACCCTGAAACATCCTCTGGGCTGATCTAAGTCAGGGCATGGATAACTCACAGATCAAACCCTGAAACATGCTCTGGGCTGATCTAATTCAGGGCACAGATAACTCACAGATCAAACCCTGAAACGACCTCCAAGCTGATGTAAGTCAGGGCACAGCTAGCTTACGAACTGAATTTGAATTTAGCATGTTTTTGCAGAGGGAGAAGAAATTGAGAACATAGAAAAAAAGCCAAGGAACTAACAAAGTCTACTGACATGTGATGCTGGGTCAAGGAATGGAACTCAATACCCAAGACATGAGAGGCAAGTCCCTTAAGTAAGGAAGATCAAGATACCAGGCATACTAACAAGATAAAAGATTTACCTGGAAATCAAAAACCTGCTCTTGTATCAAAGGACATGCTGGCATAATAAGAGCATAAACAACCTGAAACACAAAGAAAAGTAAATAGAATGCAGTATTCTGAATAAAACATGCTATTTAATAAAGGAGCTTTTCATTTGATGCAAAAAATATTAGGTTAAAGATGTAAAATGAATCATTTTTAGGTTTTTTCATGTTAGTCCATGGGACATTCCTCCTTCAGTATTGCGTTATTACTTATTGGTAACACTGGTAAATCACCATTACTTGCATTGCTCTTTACATACCTCTAGATTATAAAGGGCTTGCATAGGTGATTTGGTGAATCACCATTGCTCGCATTTCCCATCACATACCTCTAGATTATAAAGGGCTTGCATAGGTGATTTGGTGAGGAATATTTTCTCCAGGTTTTGCAGTGAATCTTTGGAGCCTTGATCGGCATGGTCATGACATATTGACTTGACCTGTTTCACAATGTGCGCATCTATGATAGAAATAGTTATTGACATTAACAGCTGTCAGACCACCACCACCAGCAGCATAAGAATCAGTATCATTATCATATCTTTATCATCTTCACTATTATTATCACCATCACCATCATTGCCATCCATACCTCTATCCTCACCATCAACATCACTATCATCATCATCCCCTTCACTATCATCATCATCAACATTCCTACCTCCATTATCATCCTCCATCATCGCCATCATCATCACCATCATCTTCACCATCATCACCTTTCATATCTTCATCATTATCCTCCATCATCATCATTGTGTGCTAATCATTACCATCACTAAGTGCAAGCATCATTACATTGATTGCCCTCAATGATCTTTACTGTTCAATCAATAAAACCACCTTCTTACCTGATGGAATCAAGTCTAATAATTGTTGTACTCTTTCTCTTAGTTCTGAAATCCCATGTTCTATCCCATGATCAGCCAACTGAATAAGGTACTGTAAAAACTGGTGTCTTTTGGACATTATCTGAAATATGAATTAAAACACATTAAACTATTGATCATAAAAAGAAAACAAATGGAAAAAACAAATGGAAAAATACCAACGAAATTGAAGAAAAGGGAAAAACAGATGGTAGAAAAGAGAGCAAGTGAGAGAATGAATGAGAAAATAGGAATAGTAAAAGAAAAAGAAGAACAGAAAAAGAGAATGCAACAAAAAAATGAAAAAGAAAAAGAAAAATGGCAAATTTTGCTTGCTTCTTCTCTACTAAATCTAACTTCACTTACAGCAATTACAATGAAGCCATCTCTGAGAGCAAGGGGAAAAATTACTGCTCAAAACCTTTATTTCTCTTTACTTTCAAAATCACAGTAATAATCTTACCACTCCTGGTAGGCAGTTTTCAGCATCCAAGTTTGGTCCATCTAGAGCAGCTGCAGTCGAACCAGTCGATGACTCTGATGATGAGTCTGGTGATGATGGCATAGAGTTGCTGACTGGGCCAATCTTGGCTGTTATCAGCTGTTATTGTAAAAAATACGATATAACGAATCATTATTGTATTATCTGAAATGCCCTCTGGGTTGATCAATGATCAGGCAAATTGGGGAAGACCCAAGACCTAAGATGTGGATGCACCTCTGTTATACCACTCTTGATTCCAAACATCAAAGAAAGTTTTCGGGACAGCTAAAGGAATTTCGTTTTGGAGAGGAGGAGTCACTTACTGTTCTGTCCCTCAGTGGAACTTGAAAAACCAATCTTCTATCATCTGATGGACAAAGAAGCTCTCCGTTGACATAAAGATCGATTTTTGATGCTTGGGTGGTGGGTCTTATCCTGGAAACAAGCAAAATTGTAAAAGCTTACAAATTGAAATATTTTATGGCCATCACTCACTGTTGGGGGATCTTCTGTGAGGTTCACTCCACACACACTATAATTAATACACATCACTGTCTTGACTCACAAGTAGATTTTTTTATAGAAGGAAAACCAGAGAAGCAAGATAAAAACCCTTGTGGCAAGGGAGAGAACAACACATCTAACAATATTATTTTATCTTACACATTGATTTTCATGGTAGGAAAAACTGGAGAATTCACACGGCAAAGGAGAGAGCCTTTTAATGTGCAGTTCCAAAAATTATCCATACCCCCCTCACCCCCGGAAATTCCAATTTTCTTCCATACAAACTCTGTAATTTTTGTCCTTTCTCTGACCTCCCTACTCTTCGGAAATTCCAAATTCCTCTATGGGGTGGGTATGGATGATTTCTGGAACTACACGATCAACATTCATGGTTGAAAAAGTTGTTACCTTCCAAGAATCTGTCGTCTTATTGATGCTAATGATTCATGTGCATGTGACCAGATTTCAAATTCTTCACCTTGTCGGCCATGTGCTGGGAAACGTATTATTAACGAGACATGTTTCCCTCTACAAGATCTAAGATGAAAGATCATTCACATTAACATCAGTATACCAATGTGAATTTCATTAAAATAGGTAAAAAAATAATTGTAGTTTGCATTTGAAGCAATTTGTGGAAATACCAAGATAATACTGTTTTATGCTAACAACTGCCCTATTAACTCATTTTTTATCAGCAATCAATGTAAGCAAAAGTTTTCTTCGACAAGCAATTATTTCAATCAATGTTTTTACCTTCCATGTGGAAGAATGGCTCGTTCTTCCATATGATCATCATCACATTCTGAAACATATTCCCTGAGGACAGTAAGACAGCGCACGACTTTGATGGCTTCACCTTCAGCCATTGCTTTGCTCTTTTCAATCTTGATGTCCTCCTCAATGCCTTTGGATGAGGTTAGCAGTACTTTGGCTGATTCTCGGATGCGACTTGTGCAAGCTTGAATAAACTGATCATGGATCTCAACCTGTGATACATGGAGTGGTTTAATAGTAATAATCAATAACGGGAAGTTCTTATATAGTTTAGTGGTTGGTGCTTGAACTAAGATGTGAATCCTAAATGTTAAGTTAGAGCTCAGGTCTGGTGACAACTGTGTTGCAATCTGGAAATCACTTTTATTTAAGTGTCTAGTCGTTCTAGCACTTTCGCACTAATTGGGGACACTTTTTGCTCACACGCACTACCACTACATTTAGTATTCTATGCACGCAACGCTCAGCTCACATGTTGATTTTAACAGAGGGAGAAAACCAGAGAACCTGGAGAAAACCCTCGTAGCATATGAGAGAACAACACATCAAACAAACTCAATTCACATGTGGCAACTGCAGGGCTGGAACCAGCGACCCAACCCGCTGGACTCACAGCAGTGAAATACAACGCGTAAGCCGTGAATGCCACCCATGCTACCCAACAAAAAAAAAAAAAAAACTCTCACAATCTCTCTCTCCCTCTCTCTCTCTACCAACCAAAGGTCAGTCATTGGTCATGATTAATCTCAATCACACCTTCTGGCTTAACATTACCAGTCAAAATGACCAGCAGGAAAAATATTTGACCAGATAAGTTCCAACAGGCCATTATTTCAAGCCCTCCTTACTATGTTATGTATGCTTATGTTGCATCAACTTACCTGATTGGCTCGTAAATTGGGCCCTAAGTTTGTAAAGGTTTCTTTGAGCAATTCAATAGCTCTGTGTGCAATTTCACCACTGCTATGCAGCACAACCTATGAAAGATTTGAATAGAAATTTAGAGGTAATGAAAACAAGGATACAAATACACTTAGGGCGCTTTCCATCAAGTCGGAAGACTGACCAGTTCAAGTGACTAGTTCTCAAATGTAAGTTGACCAAGTTCTAAACACTAACAAGAACTGACCCACAATGTTTGAGAACTGGATGCTCAGACTGGTCGGTTGGACTTAATGGAAAGCAGCCTAAGCTGTTTAGTGTGCTGCCTGATAACAGCTGGTTTCACACATTTAACACTCAATTTTAGTACAGAGTGAAACTTGAATGATAAGAGAGGTCTATATCTTAATAAGCACTGTTCTTAAAAACATTTTACAACAATCACTACCCAGAAAGGGCTCTTCCAAGAGGTTCACTCCACACACTACCATGACATTGATAAGAGTGGTCCATTAAGAGCTAAATGAGAGGTCTATAGCTTCATAATCAATGTTCTTTATTTACAAAAAAAGAAAACTTAACTCCAAATGCACTACCACTTCATTGACAAGGTTGGTGTAGCTGTAGTACATACATTCAGTTAAACCAAAGTTTTACTAACCTTCCACACATAGTCAATGCCAATGAGATTCAAATCTTCCATCATATATGATCTCCTTTTAGACACAAGCTTGCCCTCTTTGACATTCACAGCTCTAAAAAATCTCTCAAAACATCTGTAATATAACCAAACCATATTAATACAACAAATAAAATTATATTCATAAAAATCTTTGTAAATCTATCTTTCAAACCATGGGTGGGGGGTCTAAGTTGGGAATCCAACTTTTTTTCCAAGTAGTAGGGGTCCGGTGATCGATGGTTCTTTTAGGGTTAAAAAGATTTCTTGTCTGAACCTTTTAAAGGGTTCCAACTTAAAAGTCAGTTACATAACATGACTCTGTACTTATTAGGGTCAACTTTTATTTATCTGCTTTGTAGGGAATTATCATCTTACCTTATTCCATTTTCTGTCAAATAGACAGGGTCTAGTTTGAGAACATTGCCTTCAAAAAATGACAAGCTAATGTCTGGATCCAAGTCTGGTTCGTCACCCATCAGCTGAAAATAACATTATTTTGATCAGCAATCATGATTATATGATGACAATGATGATGATGATGACAATGATTATGATGATGATGATGATGATGATATTGACACACGATGATGATGATCACAATATGAATGCAAATGATGATTGGTAAAGATGACGCATAATGATGATCATAATGATGATCATAATGATGACAATGGATGATGATGATGCATTATAGAGTAGTAATAATGATCAATACATGATGACAATGATGATGATGAGAATAATAATGATTATAATTAACACTGATCACGTGTCGACATACCTTGGAAAACCATTTGAAACAACATTCTCTATCAGTAGGGTAGATAGCCTTCTCTGCCAAACACTGCCAAATCTAACAAGATATTTTCATACACAATCAAACGTCATCTTAACCAGAAATTCCCTTTACTTTGATTTAGGTTAATACAAATATAATCTTATACTAAAACAAAATTATCATGAAGTCCTTGAGTCCTTACCAATTTAGCTTGTGGTTCACACAACCATAGCTGACCATCCTTCAACAGAAATCTAAAAAACAAATTCATGATCTTGAAACTGCTGTTCATTTACTGCACCCACAGTATTTTACAGCGTAAGGAACATTTTAAAAAGACTTTGAAGCTTTGAATTTCTTTGAAACAAGCTCTGCACAACTAAAAAAATTGACAACCAACCTCCCCCTAAGGCCCAAGGCCTGCGTTATGCACCAAATTGAAATATGGCAACACTTTTAGAATACACTATTGTTCTAAACTGACTAGCAATGGACTAGCATCATGTTCACATGGAAACATAAGAGCATTTCCACATGTATGAGAGGCTAGTCAGTGCAGAACAATAGTTATTCAAATTGGTTGCCATATTTTGATTCAGCATATGCTAATAAAATTTTCACAAAATAAAGTAACTTGTTACTCAGGCATGTTACTTCCCCAAGGTAGAAAATCTCTAGAAATCACTGAGATTATAGTAGTAACGGCTTGCTACACACAGCAAAACCTAATGACATGCTCAAAGAAGTCTGAGTGCTTGATATTCAAGGTTCTAGTTTGATATAACATGAGAAAATATTATTTACTTGAGGAAGTTCAGCCTGTCCTGGACTTGCTGTTGGTGGTTGTAACGTCCATCTGGTATTACGTCCTGTGAATCCATCTCAGGTTTGCCTAGCAAAAAATGTTCCCTTGAGCATTATTTCTTTTCTTACTGATAACAGGGAAAGGCCACATCACTTGTCATTCCCTTGAGTATTATTACTTTCCTTACTGATAACAGGGATTACATTTAATACATGTGGGTTCTAACTGACATAGTTGTCAAAATACTGAGGCCCATAAAAAATACTTGCTATCCTAATATAACCACAGGCAGGCAGGACACACAATCCATGGCATGCACATAGGAGAAAATATCTTGATATGGACTGGGCTACACTTTTACCTGTGACTATTACTCGTACTTTCTGCATGTATTTAGCCAGGTTATCAGCTACCAACGTCACAAGGGAGTGAGTCTGTTGTAGCTTATTGATAACTTCATGTCTGTAAAACACATGGGGGTTTCGTTGTACATGGGAATAATTCTGTGGAGCCTACATCAAGAAAATATAATTCACTGTTATTAAAGCCCCACACTTCGTTAGGGAATACCAGCATAAAATAAGTATAAAATAATTTTAATGTTACTCAAACCAGCCACTAAACCATTGACGTTCTACCTTCTACAAACACCTCTATATTTAATTCCGACCCTAGTTTTTAATTCCGCCTGTCGTTATTTGACCTAAGGATTATGCCTTCTATTGAGGCCGACCTAAATACTTGGGGTGTTGTTCGAATGCCCAGATCATTAGGGGAGACAAAATTTGGATAAGCGCAAAAGACCTAATGACAAGGGCTCACCATTGTGGACCCCTTATGAGTAGGCGTTCTGGCTCAAGAARCCCAATGATTAGGGCAAAAAAATCAGTAAACGATACTGTACGTGACAAATGCTTCAATTAGCAGGAAGTTTGTTATCAGAGTTTACAGTCCGCGGTATCTATCTAAATTATCAAACTGGCCTAGGAAAAAATAATCTTAGTTTGTGGATTTCTGTTTGTTAATAGGAACTGTAAAACAACTTCAACTACATTTTCTTACCTTTTATAAGCTTTTACTGTTTGTGAATGAGATTGCTTCGGTTTGGCGCGAAAGTCGTAGTTGACACAAGCCAGTGTTCAAAAAACATCTCCTTAAGCATCTCCTTAGCTGCTTAGTCTTTGCTTTCGCGGATATTTCTCCTTAAACTGATGAACTCACAGTATATACAGTCATGTAGTTGGACAATAACTACGACTCACTCATGTACATAACTGATCGTTGTTGGCTTACCTGACACCATACCGAGCCATCCCGTGAACTGAACTGCCGTGTTTCTTTGAAATTCGCCTTCGTCGCCTTGCGCTGATAATCATTATATCCCTGTATTTAGCTTCTGACCGTACCGATCGCTAGCAGTTCTACTACACGTACAAAAGGACAAGTCAGATCGACCAACATATTGACTTCTCAAGAATCTGCTTTCGCTTTATCGTGTTTGAAGATTAGGACTCACGTCGTCAATTAACACTCAATTACGCCGACAACGGTGTTTCATATTACCAAAGGGCTTTTCATTTCAAATCTATTGTTGCCGTATTGTTAGCAGACTATTTACATGATTCTCAAAAAATTAGAGAGATTTGAAATAAGATTAATAATAAGAATATATAATACCAAAAA